CTTTCCCAGTCAAGCTCACTATTTGTCGTGATCGCTTTAACTTTTAGGGAGTCCCTCTGGCGCATTTTAGATTTTATCTCAGCGCAAATCCACGGGGAATTTCTTTTTCCGATTTTCTTATTAATCACCGGTGCGTGTTGATCGATGCAGCACATTAGGTTCGATTTCCATTGTGTCCACATATCATTAGGGTCGTCAAAGTGCTCAACATCTGACCATGGCATTTGAGTCAAATCCCTAAGGAATGAATCTTCGTCAAAGTTATTTAGTTTACGCATTTGGATAATACGATTAGGTATTCGCTCGTAGCGAGCCTTACGGGTCATAAACACTAGAGAGTGATCACTTATGCCTAGATGATATACTCCTGATTGAATAATCTTTTCAGGAGTATTTGTAATGCAAAGATCTATAAGTGTTTTTGTTTTCTCTGTAATACGTGTTGGCTCAGTAATGAGCTGAGTGAGACCGAAAAGATCTAATAAATTAACCAAACTTGTAATGGCAGGTTTTTTCCTAGCCGAAGGGAGGAGATCACAATTCATATCCCCTAAAACATAGTAATCAGAGCTAGAGCTGTCTATTTTATCAATAATATTCTCAAATGCCATAAACAGATCTTGTGAAGAATCTGGGGGTCTGTACCAAGTACTAATTATGAAAGGTTTGGATCTAGGTTTAGTGATTTCAATAGTCAACACTTCGAGTAATTCGTCATCTAAATCCCTGCGGATTTGATAGTTGAGGTTATTTCTGATGTAGAATAGTACACCACCTCCATATTCGCCGTTAACTATTCGGTCGTTTCTAGCTATATCAAATCCAGAAATGTGGATTTCGTTATTAGATATTGATGAATCAATTTTCGTTTCGTTAATTGCTAAAATGTCAATCTTAGCCATCGTAAGAAAGACACGTAATTCATCAATGTGTGCTAGTAATCCATTAATGTTTAGATTTGCCATCACTAAACCATGACCAAACTGAGTATTTTCCTTACTTGTCGACATTATTTTTGCTTTAGTAGATGTGCTAGACTCCCCGGCCCTAAAAGCCTATTTGCGTTTAAAAAAGTTAACAAAGTTTTTTGAAAGTTCAGCAGTTCCCTTTTTATTCAAGTGGAGGTTGCTTGCGTTAAGATGGTGCGATTTGATATTTGCGTGATCAATATAATCCCAGTTGTTTTTGGTGCAAAGATCTTTTACAATTGTGTTAACATCGATGGCTTTCTTACCTAAAGTTGTGTCATCCATTCTGGTGGTAATTCCGGAGACTGCAACTTTGGTTTCTTTGTTGTTTACCATTGCAGCAAGTTTGATGATTTCTTCGGCACAAGATTGCGGCGATTCGGCTGCACGCAGACTATTCGTACCTACGTGAATAGCTACCTTTTTGGGATTTAATCTGAGAACTGGCTTGATATGATCCATCATATCTCTTGTGGTGCAGCCAGGGTGCGTTGATACTTTGACGTTCAGTGTGTTGGATGACATCTTATGGCCCTTTAGGTGCTTGAGAATAGAGTCACCTATAATCCAGACAGTATCTTTCTCTTGCTTCGATGCATCTTTTAGTGATTTTGGTTTTCCTGAAATTTTCTTTACATTTGATGGTCCTGCATCCCTTGGGGCTTCGTTTACTTTTGATGAATTGACACAGCCAGAGTTTGAACTTGGAGCAAGAATTTGCATATCGGTTTTCCGAGCTGTAGTTTCAGRAYMRCTTTTCTCTTGGAATAAAATTTCAAATGATTTCACCAAATGATCTTTATCTTCTTTGAGCTTGCGATTCTCTACTTCAAGTTTAGCACACTTGGTGTTTAACTGTTCTATTCTCTCCCTGAGTTTAAGGTTCTCCTGATGGATACTCGTTGACTGCGAATAATTCGCGTCTCCTTTCAGGTTGGAAATTTCTTGATGGAGCTTTTCAATTTCTACTTTAAACTCCAGTCGTAGAGCGTTAATCATCCCATATGCGTTAGAACGGTCTTCAGTTGTTGGTATTGAAGAAAATAGTACAGAATCATTGATAATGCTATCAGGAATGACCGTTAGACTTTCATCTTGTAGGTCAGCACTCACTCGAGAATTTTCGTCATGATGAGTATTTTCGTCATGAGAACTCAAGTCACTCAGGTGATCCTGGCTTTGAGCGGCTTCAATGAGTTTCCCCTTATAGATTTCATGTTTGGATCCTTGCAGGAAAAGAGTTCTTGGCCCAGGGTAGAAGTTCATCGAAACTTCCTTCGAGCGAAAGAGATGGTATCCGCCGTTATTCGATACAAAATTCCATTCGCCAGACAATTTAAGAACGTTCTGGACGAAGACTTTCAGTAAATCGAGATTACCATTCCATTTAAACTTCACTTTCTGATTGCTTTCAAACATTTCCAGATTTTTCTTCAGAGCATCGATTTCACAACCGTTCGCCATGACTGCATATGCATATGTGGGCTATAGCCCATGCATTTTGATCAAAAATCGGTCATTTTTGGCCATTTTGGTGGGCTATAGGCCATGCTTTTTGATCAAAAATCGGTCATTTTTGGCCATTTTGGTGGGCTATAGGCCATGCTTTTTGATCAAAACAGACCATTTTTGACCATTTTGGTGGGCTATAGGCCATGCATTTTGATCAAAAATCGGTCCTTTTTGGCCATTTTGGTGGGCTATAGGACATGCATTTTGATCAAAAATCGGTCATTTTTGGCCATTTTGGTGGGCTATAGGCCATGCATTTTGATCAAAAATCGGTCATTTTTGGCCATTTTGGTGGGCTATAGCCCATGCATTTTGATCAAAAATCGGTCATTTTTGGCCATTTTGGTGGGCTATAGGCTATGCATTTTGATCAAAAATCGGTCATTTTTGACCATTTTGGTGGGCTATAGGCCATGCATTTTGATCAAAAATCGGTCATTTTTGGCCATTTTGGTGGGCTATAG